TAATAAATATATTTTATTATATTAAATCTTCGTATGTCCTTTAATGTCATTTCATTTAATATTATCCCTGCAATGTTTCAGCTCTTTTTGCTTAACAGGTCTACTTCATTCAGTTAACAATTAAGATTCAACACTCCAAAGTTCAGCTTCAGACAATAGTCTCTGATTCAGATAATAGCCCCTATTTTAGACATTAGTCTGCAGTTCCAGCTTGTTGTGCCAAACATAGCCAATGACTTACATCATGAGAATGGGAGAAACACTAATTTCTCGTGTTCCATAAAACTTTATGAAATTTGACCGTTACCATTATTAATAAAGTAAAATTTGTGCTATAGAATCGTATAAACCCGAGGAAATACAAAATATCCGGCCTAAGTAATACGGAATCACGGAGTATCATGATATTTACGGAAGTTTTGTGGTTAGCATTTAAAGTGGGGCGGAGCAAATTTTAAATTTATTTACATAAATTTCGTGGCCACCACTTTAGACTGTTTTGACGTGTATCGACTATCCAGAAGACTTTCCTTTTTCTTTTTCATTGACGCCGTATATTGACAGTTGACCAATGGCCCTCTCTACGTAGACTCGGAAAAGGTGTATTCCAGACCCATTTATCGGAACCAGTAACCAAAGCAGGCAGAAAAGAAGACAAAAACGCGGTTTTTGATCGGTTGATATAGCCTTCAACGATTCAGCTCTGTATTTCCATAATCGGAATAAAGCAGCTCGTCAATATCAATCGATTGGTAAATTTCTTTTTTTTTCTGCCGAGTCAAATCATTCTGTTATCATTTTCATATCTCCTGCTAGATTTTGATGTACATGTCGCTCTATGACTTTAATTCTCCTCTAATTTGTTGATAATCGGGAGCTTGGAATGTTTTTTGCTTTCAAATTTCTTTGCAGTAACGGTGGTTTTCGTTATGTTTCGAGGAAGATTGTTCAACTTATTAGCAATATCTTACTTTGGACCAATTTTGCCCTCGTTTTCTCATAAATGTTTTTCAGGCTCATAGGGTTCTACCATTTTAGATATCTTTTTGCAATCTTTCGGTTTGTATCACCATCAAGATTGGATTTTAGTTTTATAAAAGAATATTTGAACAATTAAGTTGAACATATGATAGGAAGATGGTACAGGATGAGCTTTGTCATCAATGGTATAGGAAAGTTGTTGTGTCTTTAATGGTCATTGAATGTAAAAATATGATTGAAATTTTGATGCTATTCCTCTGATGATTTAGGCTGCTTGCTTGCTTGCACATTCTTCAGCTTCTGTTATGGAAACTAAAATTGAATATATTCGATTCGTGAGAAGCTTAGTGGGATCATGTTTGCTTTTATTGGAAATGTAATTGATGAGTATTGATTCATAAAGTCATTCTGGGACAAAAAAGGGTTAGCTACCCCAAACCTAAGGGTCCCTACCTACCCTTGATCCTATAATGTAGAGGTCGAGTTAAATCGCCATACATCATTTTCCATGTTTTCATAGTGTGCTTGCTTTTGCACTTCTGTTCAATTCAATATGGATAGCCCTTGTCCATTCGTGGAGAGTATATGACTTGATAGATAAGGGCCTGTTTAAATGTATAGGCTTGGCATGAACTGGTTTAATCAATACTAGTCCAGTTTCACTCATCTATTTGAATCTGGACTGATGTATTTAATCTTGTTGGTTTATGACCGGTCTATTTAGGTGTTGTCTGATTTAATTTTGTCTTCTGAGATTATAATGAGTATGAGTGAGCAAGTCCTAAATCATGGAGTTAGTTCAGTGCCCATTTTAGATTCATTTGTAAATCAATCTCAACCAAAAATGTTACGTAGTATTATATTTTATTTCCTAAAGTAGGATAGGAGGAGTTGAAGTTACTAGCTAATTTGACATTATGTAAGTCTTCTTATCGCTTCATGAAACAGTGGCGTTATGGATAAGAAAAATACAGGCAAGGAGGTTTCTATGGATGCTACCCGGGAATCACTCATTGCAATCTCAAACCTCTCACCAGACAATGGACATGGTTCAGGCTGCAAACCTGGAGATTTAACTCGTCAGACCTATGTCAAGACTGAAAATGCAAGGGAAGATGACAATTATAGATCTAAGCTGATTTCAATATCTAGCCTTCAGTCGCCAGGCTTCCAAGTTCAACCAGGGTCACCCGCAGATATCAATGTCAAGCTTACCTAGTCTCAACTTTTCTCATGTAATCAACAATATTACAGAAAATCTTCACATTAACTCTTAATATCTTATCGTGCAAGCCTTGTTGTATAATGTTCTTCATGGATGTCTTGATGCTGCACAACCTACTTGTGGACTTCTGTCTTCATATCTCATCTAATGAACCCAGCTATTAAGCCTCTTTTTGTTGTGAATATTTCGGTAGAACCATGATTTTCTTTTGGGACTCATGGCTGCTTTTGGTTTTGCTTTGAACCCTTTTTGTAATCGACCATTTCAGTTCGAATAAAAATAATAATTAAGAAGATGCTGACCAAATATGGTCATCAGGTAAGCCTCAAATATGACCAACCCAAATCATCAAAAATGTATTTAGAAGTGCTCTGAGGATGACTTCACCCTTGAAAAGAGGTACCCATACAGATGCCAACTCTAAGAGTCTAAGAGAATAATAAAACCTAAACGTTAATGGTATATCTTAAGGGCATTGTAGATTAATCTAAAATAAGGATCCTGTAAATTATACTTAAGGAAGTATACACCCAATCTTATTTTGGGGATCTAAACTTTAGCACTATAAGATAATTTATTTGCAAGGACATAGGATAAAAAATGAGTAAATGAAAAGCTGCTAAAATAATAGGCTCTATATAATATTAGTGGTGGACATATTTGTTTCATTTGACCGAACCAAACTGCATCAAATCAAACTAAATAAAATTGGAAACGGACTATGCAAATCGATTTGAGTTTGATAGTATTCCTTCAAAATCGTATTAAATCAAACCAATTCGAGAATCTGAAAACTCGAATAGAACCAAACAGAAAAAAGGAATTCAATAGTTTCTTAAAAATTAGTATATTTTAAAAACAACAAATCTAATCTTAACTAAACTGAATATAAATGACACAAATCAATATAATACATAATACTCCCTATTTTCCTAATAATTTCTCAATCTATTTCAAACCGATAAGCCAAACTGAAAACGATATAGCCACCATATAATAATTAATTAATTAATAATAAATATCCGGAGGATATTTTTTTAGAATATAAAAGAGCGACTTTTTATATTAATATTAGGAAATCATACAAGGCAACCTCTTGACAGTTTGTCAGAGCCGATCGTAAGCCCCAAGAATAGACATAGAATCATCCACTTCATACAAAACAACATGATTCACTAGACACAAAACGGGCAAAACAACATGATTCACTAGACACAAAACGGGCAAATTTAAGCTTTAAATTTAATCTCAAAAGTACTCAAGAAATCCAAATATTCAAACCAAACCTACTCGAAGTAAAATAAAAGTACTACTAAAGGAAAATAAAATTGAAATAAAGTCTTTCTAGAAAACTCTTCCTGACACGGAGGTGATTCTGGAGGAGGACGAGCTCCACCATTATCTACGCAACCCAAAAGAAAGCAGCCAGAAACTTCTATCCAGACCAAACTGGACGTGACATCAAAACAACTCCCCACATTGAGGGAGATAAAAAACCTGGAACGTCAGTGCCCGAGAAAGAACCGTCAAAGTACATATCAAATATAACCAGAAAAGAAGAGCAATCCAGTTGGATCATACCGCTACCAAGAATCTTCGCTGCCTAGAACAAAACATTGAATCCGCTACCTGCTTGGATGCGTCATCTGTGCTCTTTTAACTTCACATGAATCTGGAGGTAGACCGCAACGGTGCAACAAACTTGACCCCAAGAGGTCGGACTTGACACTCTACCTCTCGTCCGGAGTTTACCGCTGTCGTCAATCTTTTGTTCAAACCCGGAGCAAATTTTATACAATAAATTTATAATTTTATACTAGTAATAATAATTATTATATTATTATTATATTATTATATTACTTCGTGTTATATTATTATTATATTATCTTTATATAATATAAAGGAATTGAGTGGACAATTAAATTTCTCCAATTATTCCCGCCTATTCCCACATTGAAGCATTCTTCAAGTCATAACATTAAAGCTCATTCTCTCATAAGTGGCATCCATAGAAGTGAAGTAGAACTTATTCACAAGACCCCGTTAAGTAACATTGCAATTGACATAATTGATTAAAACTGGTGAAATTATGAAATTCTTATTGAACTGATTAAATTTTCTAATTCTTCTAAATTATAGAAAAATTATTCTACGTATTTAAAATATATTTAATTAATGAATAAAAAATTAGATGAAAATTAATGTAATTTTTTCTTAACCTTTTTCTTTATATATCCAATTTTTATCAAATTTGAGTTTTTTGCGACTTTACAAGACTTTTAATATAATTTTTGAATATGTAAATTTTATTTACTAAAATAATTTTATTATTAACAATGATCACTTAAATTTATGACATGTCAAATATCGTAAACTCAATTGGGACCGTTACCCGGGCCAGAGGTAGTATACAATATTCATTCAATCTGTTTTTATTTGAGTAATGTGCGTTGATTTTTCACGTGCAACGCACGGGTTTATAGTCTAGTTATTATTATATAATACTCCCTCTGTCCCGAAATTATCTTCATTCTTTCCTTTTCGGTCCGTCCCAAATTTATCTCCTCTTTCCCTTTTTGGTAAAGAATATGTGGTTCACAACCATTCTTACACATTTCTCTCTCCTCTGCACAACTCTCCACCACACAAATCTCACTATCTTAATCTCCGTGCCCAGTCAAAACCGAAATTAATTATGGGATGGAGGGAGTAGTAATTATTATATAATAATCTTATCTTAACGTACTAATAATCTTAACGTACTAATAATTTTCCCGCCAAATCTCTTAGGCTTACTTAACCATCCACATTTTGCCGCCAACGGCCTCACCACTCCTTCCTCGGTTTCCAAAACCCTTGATAACTCTGCGCAACCATCGGCTAGTTCAAGTAAAGCGCCATCACTAGCAACCGCTGGCTTCCAGCAGACTGTTAATTGACCTGTCGTCCTTCTTTCAGGCGACCTCTTTGCAACCCATTTCTCCGAACGGCCGGGCGAAATCCGGACGGAAAAATGATGAATTTTGACTTCGGGCGTGATAAAGGTAAGATAAATCTCTATCCGTGCCATTTTAGTGCATTTGAATCGGTGCCAAGACTTTCTTTTTATTTGAATTGTAGATCTGGCTAAAGATTTCCTATCCAATTTCGCTGATTTAGATGGCGAGGCAAAATACATGAATATTCTAGTGAGTATCCCTTCGTAACCTAACCTCAAGCTATTTTCCTTCCAATTTTCAAATATCTGTTTCCACTGCAGTTTCATGCTCAATCATTTTCTGAGCTTCTTTCACTCTTTCCTTACCTTTTGCACGTGTTCAGCAAGATGTCGCCAATAGAAAAACCAAGGCTGTTCAGATCGAGCTTGAAGACCTAGCCAGTGTAAGTTGGACAGCTCCTCTTCATTTTCTTGAGAGAAGCAATATTTAGTAATAATGGCTTAAGGTAATTATCCATTGAATGCCGTTTGCTAAATTCCATCCTTCTATTAGTACAAGGATTTGGATGAAGAGTTCTTCCAGAGGGTTAGAGAAAATACCCGTCGCTATATTTCCATATTTGCAAGTGCCATTGATGAGCTGATGCCAGAGCCAACAGAGGTGTTTAATGACGAGGATCATGATATCTTGATGACACAGAGAACTGAGGAAGGAACTGAAAACACTGATGGCTCTGATACAAGGCAAAAGATGCCTCCTGAAATTAAGCGTATCTTGTGAGCTCCAAAATCCAGATAATGTTTATTCTACCTTAAGCTATCCCCATATCCCTCTATACTGAGTTTATTTTGACCGATTGACCGACCAACCATCATTCTTCTGAAGTAACAGTTCATTCCTTTGAGGTTTAGACCATTAAAAGGTATATTTAGAACCCACAAATGCCAATAAAGCTGAGTAGGATAATTTTGATGTATGTAGAATTGTAGTCTATACAATCATTTTCTTTGGTTCGAAATATTTTTAGCATATTCGTGATAGAATTAGAGTACTTGAACCACGGGCATGTACTATTATAGAATTGGAAGCTGCATCTAAGGTCTAACTATAATGTTTTTCACTCATGCTAGTGAAGTGTACATCACTGCAACTTCAAAAGTCAGGCCACTTACAATTAGGGAGGTCAGAGCTTCCTATATTGGTCAGCTTGTTAACATATCTGGCATTGTGACTCGCTGCTCCGATGTAAAGCCATTGATGCAAGTTGCTGTCTACACGTGTGAAGAATGTGGTTTTGAAATTTATCAGGTGGCTATATTGACCCCTCCTTTACATGATTTACATCAATTTCTTGTGTCAATTTTCCAGGAGTTCGTGATAGCCGATATTTTTTGGTTTTACAGTTATGACTTATGAGGCATGGCACACTTCCAGATATTTAGATGCCATAGTTTTTGTCCTTCCATTTATTTGACCTGAATGTTACTTCATCTGATTAACAGGAGGTTACTGCTCGGCAATTTATGCCTTTATTTGAATGCCCATCCTCACGTTGCAAAATAAATAGGGCAAAGGGGAACCTTATTCTTCAACTCAGAGCATCAAAGTTTTTGAAATTTCAGGAGGTACATCTTTTCACCATATTCTAGTAGCAAAATATATAGATATAGATATAAACTTTTTTATCATAATCGTTTGTTTCTTTTTCACTGACATCAGGCCAAAATCCAAGAGTTGGCTGAGCATGTTCCTAAAGGTCATATTCCTAGATCAATGTCAGTTCACTTCAGAGGAGAACTTACAAGAAAGGTTGGTCATTAGTAGTAATTTTATTTCTAGGTGTAGACTTGCAGTTAATAAATATATTTCCCAAGAGTCCAAGACAATGCCTTTTCATATACCCAAGTTCATTAAAGAGATATTTGAGCAAGTATATTTTTTGTCGAAGGATGTGCATTGCACGTTTTTGGGGTTAAGACATGCATCTTTTGATGCTTGCAAACATAGCTCTAGATATTGGTCAATATCATTTTCTTTGTACACTTATTATATATCCAAACATGGCAGGTAGTTCCTGGCGATGTTGTTGAATTGTCGGGGATTTTTCTTCCTATGCCTTACGTTGGATTTAGAGCTATGAGAGCTGGCTTAATTGCAGATACTTACTTGGAAGCCATGTCTGTTAACCATTTCAAGAAAAAATATGAGGAGTAAGCTTTCTGCAGTATTCGAATGTATGCTTGACAAGTATATTACCTTTGCAGCAATGGAGGATGATTACAATGTTCGCTTCTATGTATGAAGCGTTAAATGTCACGTATATAGATAATTTTACTTCTCCTGTAATTTATCTAAACATGTCACTATAAATAGCTGCAAATGTATGGAGCTAAAGTTTGTTGTTGTCCTTGTAGAGTATTTTCTTTTTAGAGAATATGTGTGCTAAATTAATGGAATGGACCATCTATTGGTGCTCACTTGCAGATATGAACTTAAAGGAGATGAGGAAGAGCAGATTGCTCGATTAGCTGAGGATGGTGATATCTATAATAAGCTCTCAAGATCATTGGCTCCAGAAATATTTGGACATGAGGATATCAAGAAAGCTCTCCTTCTTCTTCTAGTGGGTGCTCCTCATCGAAAGTTGAAGGATGGCATGAAGGTAGTTGCTACGAGGAACATTATGAATAAATCCTGCAGATTCGCAGAACAGATATATTTTTTTCAATGCGTTTTTCTACTTTCACTATGTGAATTTGCTTCAGATTTCCCTTTTTAGTTTCTGTGCCCTTGTTCAAGATATTATGACTTTTATGGATCCAGATTAGAGGAGATATGCACATATGCTTGATGGGTGACCCAGGGGTTGCAAAAAGTCAGCTTCTTAAGCACATAATCAGTGTTGCTCCGCGAGGTGTCTATACAACAGGAAAAGGAAGCAGTGGCGTGGGTCTGACTGCAGCTGTTCAGAAGGATCCAGTGACAAATGAGATGGTTTTGGAAGGAGGGGCATTGGTAAGAATTTTGTCTGTGCTATCATGAGCTTCTTTGAGGGTGATGTTAACAACATTGTATCAGGTATTGGCGGACATGGGTATATGTGCTATTGATGAGTTTGACAAGATGGATGAGTCAGATAGAACAGCAATACACGAGGTGATGGAGCAGCAGACTGTTAGCATTGCCAAAGCTGGTATAACAACATCTTTGAATGCAAGGACTGCTGTCCTTGCTGCTGCTAATCCTGCCTGGTAGTCCACATTCAACTGTTCTTGTTTTGATAAACATTCTTAAACTGTTCTTAAAAACTTTGAAGCTTGTTGATTTTTTCCCCTCGCCTAATAGAATGTATACGGTAGTGCATGTTCTATAGAAATACTCTGCCATGTGTCTAAAAAAGCAAATGAAGTCATGCAACGTTCAAAGTTATATGAATATTGGATTTTAAATTTTGACAACCGTTTGCAGGGGAAGATACGACCTAAGAAGAACACCAGCTGAAAACATTAATCTCCCTCCAGCATTGCTGTCAAGGTTTGACCTCCTGTGGTTAATCTTGGACCGCGCTGATATGGATACTGATCTCGAGCTTGCTAGACATGTTGTCTATGTTCATCAAAACAATGAATCACCTGCCCTTGGATTCACTCCATTGGAACCATCTGTGCTTCGGTAAATGTGACTTGTTAAAGCATCTTTTGGAGATTTAACTGAAAATTAATCTCTTCGAAGGATGTTTTGTTTATATGTCGGATGTAAAATACAATTTTGTTTATATGTCGGATGTAAAATACAATTCGGTGTGAATTTTGCACTTGTTTTATATAATCTCTTGCTTTCACTAATTTACATTGTTCTTAGGGCCTACATTTCAACTGCAAGGAAACTATCACCGTATCTCCCAAGAGAACTGGAGGAATATATCGCGAGTGCATATTCCAACATCAGGCAAGAAGAAGCAAAATCAAATTCACCTCACTCTTACACAACTGTCAGAACTCTCCTCAGTATTCTTAGGATTTCAGCAGTAAGTTGTATTTCCCCTCTGAACAAATATAATAAATGACATTTTTCATGGCAATATTTTTTTTGGGTTCGACTGAAATTAGCATTAATTCAATGTATGCTTATGACTTATCTGATTTTCTTTCAGGCACTGGCCAGACTCAGGTTCTCTGAGGCCGTTGCTCAAAGTGACGTTGATGAGGCTCTCCGCTTAATGCAAATGTCAAAATTCTCATTGTATTCAGATGATCGTCAAAAATCTGGTTTAGACGCTATATCAGACATTTATTCAATATTGCGTGATGAAGCAGCTAGGATCAACCGGATGGATGTTACCTATGCACAGGCTCTCAATTGGATTTCTAGGAAGGTAAGTCTCTCCAAAACATTGATTGCCTGGAAATCAGTATGGAGATTAAGTTTTTTTCTTGTTAAAGTCTGGCCATTTATTCATTACTCTCACTTGTCATGAACAGGGATACAGTGAGGCTCAGCTTAAGGAGTGTCTGGAGGAATATGCTGCTTTAAATGTGTGGCAGATTCATCCCGATACTTTCGACATTCGATTCATTGATGCATGATGTCGTACACATGAGCATTTATAGCAATGTAGTTCGAACATGAATTGAGTAAGGTCCATAGTTTGTATTATTAGCTTGCTGGTACAATTAGGAGGCTTGAGCATGCATTGATCGCCTCACATAATATAATAACTTTTTGTTGAAGCTTGCCTTCCTAATATCATATGTTAGTATAATTGGTGTTTGAACTAATATTTATGTTCTGATCCATTTACGCTAAATGAACAGGGCCCAAGCGTGTCCAAACTAATACATAGAATCGTCCTGATAGGCTGATATTGCAAGATTTTGGTTTAGACATGTAGAAGTGACATTTGCGTGATTTTTTTATATAGGAAATATTATTAATTCCCATTAATCATTTCATGGTTCAAAGACTCCAAAATACAAAAAGAATTACAAATGCCAGACCCCAGCTAAAGTCTGAGCAATTGATATGCAACTAACTGTATCAGACATGAGTACATGACCTTTATACGGTAACACAGGAACAGACACCCCAAGTATTTCTATAAACTTTATTTTCATATTTTAACAAAAAAAATAAGTTTTAAATGTATATAATTTTTTAAGAATTGTTAAGACCTAAGGTTCTATCCTAAAAGGTCAATCTAATAGGAGGATTAACTATGTCTTAATATATTTTAATTTGTGACCATTGTATGATGACTAGAAATACTTCTCCTTTAAATAATTGCCTCGATAATGGTCATGCAAGTTACTTCCGTTTTATTAGAATCAATTAATTACTTTGCTTATTAGAACTGAAAAATGAGAATGACCATGCACATATTTAAGTATCATAATAAGAAAAAAACTGTATTCTAATATATAAGCATTATTAGTATCCTTTTTATTTTATCATTTTTATGTATATTCATCTTTTTTTATATTATCTTTTTATAATAGCTTATCTTTTTTATATTTATTTTCTTTCGTTTTCTTTTGGTGGTGATATCATGTTAGCCGACCCCAATATCTTTTGGAATTAAGGCTTGAATGTTGTAATAAGAAAAAAACTGTAGGAGTCATAGATCGGGAAACACATCTTCTTTTAGTCATTTTAGTCATAAGAGTAGGGTTGGACTCGGGCCGGGTGGCCAGACCCGGAACCGGCCCGGGACCGGTACTGTTCCGGCCCGGGACCGGTACTGTTCCGGCCCGGCCCGAACCGGTGGCCCGGTCAGTGACCGGTCCGGGTAGGCCCGATCCGGTGGGTTTTTGGTCCGGGCTCGGGTCACCCATAACAAGGTCTGGCCCGGCCGGGCCCGGGCCTGATTCGGGCCAAATTTATTTATTTTTTTGGTTTTTTTCATTTGTTTGGGCTCCACGGGGTTGGGCTTGATGTTTAGGAGGGGTTTGGGGGTGGGGGTGAAGGGGGGTTAGGGATGGGTAGCTAAGCAAAAAAAAAAAAAAAAAACCAAACCCGAGGCCCGGCCTGGCCCGGCCCGGACTCGGACCCGGACCGGACCCAGTGGCTACCCGGGCCGGTCTCGGGTCCAGCTATATAGAACCGCCAGCCCGGGCCCGACCCGGCCCGAGTCCAACCATACATAAGAGGGGTAAATGTCTCTTCATTTATCACACATGCACCTCACAACTTATTCATACATACTCCGTATAATGGGTTATAAACCGGGCTACTAACTTGAAGAAAAGTTTAAATAGACTGCTAGATTGGGAGTTAGATGTTTTTACTTGGACTGTAATTCCTCCCAGACCAGATAAGACCAGACCAGATCAGACCAGACCAGATCAGACTTGGATAGTTATAAAAATACAAAGAAACCAGACCAGACCAGATCAGACCACACCAGACCAGACCAACAAATTACAGTCCAAGTAAAAACATCCTTAGTTAAATGGTGATAACTCTGTTACCCATTTAAAAAATGGGGTATTGAACCATCATTCACTTGATTGGTCCAAATCATTATATCATTTTTAATTTAGATTTAAATAATTCAACTGCATCATTCTCATTGGTACATGTGGACAAATGTATGGTACCTTAAAGGTACCATAGAATCTACCTAGTTAAATACTTATTATTAAAAAGAATAGATCATTGAGCCAATAACAAAAAAAGGATGACACCCCATCCCTGAGGCCCCCCCAACCCCGACCGGACGGTACATTGGGAGGATGTAAGTTGGACTATAATCCCAATCTGACAGATAGAGAGTGGAGCTCTGTCCCCGATACTTGCAGAGGCCCTGTGCATTTTTTAGTATAGTAACCTCTCATCGCAGTTGTCGAGATTCGAACCTGGGACCTAATCCTTGTGGCACTCTCTCGCTACCGGTTGAGCTACGCCCACCTGTTCAATGAGCCAATAACATATTAACACATAGAATAATGAATAATGGAAGGGATGAAGTGTATTGCGGTATCGGACGTGATTATGTTAGCAAGATGCACTAAGTCAAAGGTTAACAACTTAATTAATGTGATCTCTTTCTAACTAAGTTACTTATTCCAAAGAAATTCTATAGGCCCTCTAAGGCTATAATTAATTATAAGACAACCTACAGAGCACCTAACTACTCGTAGTCTCGTACACCATGTTAGAATGAGATAACATAACCAACCATTACGGCTCACTGGGTGAAAGATTACCGTGTTCTAGCGGAGGTCTCAGATTCGAACCCCGTTAGGCACATTTAGGGGAGAGGACGGAGGTCTTGCTCCCGACGATTCTTCCTACTTTCACGGAGTTACTCAGCGACTGAGAAGGGAGAGGATGGTAATTAAGGTAGCGAGTTCGTGTGGTGGGAGGAGCAGCCTGAAAGATGATGTAAGTCCTGCTCGATTCGTCCTTTGGAACGAGTACTGATGAGGTTGACTGTGATCAGATCCCGATTAATTTTGTCTAATTTTACCAATTCATTAATGGGGGCATACTCTGATTTATGTTTTAGGAAATTCAGCAATACTATGCCAGAATTCTACACCAAAGTGAAGACGTTTAAGTTTAAAGTAGTTATTTGCATTTCAATTGCAGTATCGGAGCAATTGAAGGTTTCATACTTTCATATACACATTTGAGAACACAAAAATTACATTTCTACATGGACTCTGAGAGACTGAAAATGGGATTTTTGAAATGTGTAAAAATATAAAACTAGAGTAATTTCCTACCGAACGTAGATTAGGATATGATAGGCTATACTGCTATGAATTTTGTTAGTAGACTCTAGGGGTGCAAACGAGTCGATCCGAGTTTGAACTCACATATGCTCGAACTCGAGCTCGAAATATTTTATAAGGTTATAAACTTATTTTATCTCAAACTATCATCCAATTCACAAATCTATCATATTCTTTGACTTTTATCAACAATGACTCAAACTTCATACTTTTCAAAAAATATGCTTTTTTGATTTGTTTTCTCAAAATTACAATTTTTATCAATACTAATAAGATATATATAAGCAATACAAGTTTGTAAACGTAAAGCTATAAAGCAAAAAAATGAAATATTAATATGATTTTCTTCTTAAGTTTTACTAATTCATCCATTGAAAGTGTAATTGTGAGAAAAATTGAAGTTTGAATCTTTTTTTAACAAAAGTGAAAGTGTGTGATAAATTTATGAATTTGATGATAGTTGGGGATATATTTAGCTCATAATCCTATTTTATATGCTCGAGTCCAGCTCGAGCTTGACCGAGCTTAAATATTGAAACTCGAGTTCGACTTGAAAGCTATGGTTAAAAATGAATTGTAACCACATAAATATAATCAAATATTATATATTAGATAGATGTGAAAGGCAAAACAAGACAAAGTTGATTTGTGCAATAAAAAGGATGTTTTTCACTTGACTCAAATTCGAGATTTGGTTTGCCTGGTCTAGTATACATACGGAGTATTTAAGTATGGAATGATCTGAAAATGTTTGATATATTTACATTTTATTACTCCCTTTATCCCCCAATTTTGCCTCATTTTAGTTTGTGTCACTAATTAGTTTACCAACTACTCCGTACTATATTTGACTATATTTGGATAATTACAATCTATTCTTACAATATTCGTTTTATCAATTTAATACCTAAAACACAATTTCAATTCCATTTTCTAATAGCCGCACCTCTCCCATTTGTCTCAATATTTGGTGGGTGGAGGTAATATTTTCTAATTTGGCCTTGTTGATTAAGGTTTGATCTAATCAGGTCTATTCGATCTGTTTAAGTCTAATCTGATTTGAGACTGAAACAAGCCCAATTGAAAATAACATACAGTTCTAGATCATGCATATACCAAACATTTTTCATACTAATTAAGCAGATTAGACTAGGCTAGACTAAATCAGACCAATATAGAAAAGCTCTCATTCCAATTCAAGTACGTGAAAATTATCAGATTTCACACTATATTTATTATTGGGTTTTCTAAAATATTATTGAAATGAAACGTATTTACAAAAATATGACAAATAATTAGTATGAGGGTTTCCCCCCAAAAAATATTACTAAAAATTTTTTTTACACAAATATAACTAATAGTTATTACAATGTAATATCATGGTAACTTAAGTATAAAAATAGAACATAAACTACTATAATTTCATTACTAGTCACTAGTCACATTTTTGTAAACAATCTTTATTTTAGTCATATATATATATATATATATATATATATATATATAATTATTTCTTAGTACAATATAGTCCTGTAGTCACTTTAATGTAAAAATTGAACACAAATTACTATGACTAGGTTACTACTGTTATATTTAGAAGGTAATATTTTTTGTAAAAGCCATTTATGTTAGCCATATATATGTAAATATTTCTATTTAATAAGTAACAATAAATTCCATTATGCACTTACAAAACTCAACCTACCATACTATCTTATGTTTTAAGAAGAGCATGAAATTATCTCATTAAAAATACCGTACGTACAGGTAATTATTTTGGAACAAAGCTAGCACGTCTTAACTCTTAATGAATAATGACTGTATTGAATATTTAATGCACTAGTGAACAAAACATTTTTTTTTGTGTTTTAACTAACTATTCTTACTCATTAGTTGTTAGTTTTAAAGGTAGCAGAATTTTATTTCACATTCAGACAGCTCATAGACACACCTAGTTTGGTAAGTTAGGTTGTTTATTTATATCGGTAACAATTTGTTATATTTGGACGTGAATGAATTAACTTGAATATAACCCTGATAGAGACACTGGGTTTGGTAAATTAGTTGACGATAAAGATACTAATTTGTTGTTTTTGGAATTGAAGTGTACAATTAAACTTGAATTTTACCCAATTCAATTAGATTCGACATAAGAT